TGTTTGTGATGACCAGCTTGTTCTCTTGACAAACTCTATTAGCCTTTGCCCTGCTTCGTTCTGAACTCCAAGGCCAAACTTCCCTGTTGTTCCTTTTATCTCTTGGCTCCCTACTTTAGCATTCCAGTCCCCTAGAATGAGAAGAACATCCACCTAACAGTAGCAGTATCCCACATTCTACTAGCTTCTTTGCAAGAATATTGTGAGGAACATTGTCGAAGGCCTTACTGAAATCAAGATATGCTACATCCACAGTGTTCCCTTCATAAAGCTCGTTTATGTTGCAATGTGTGAATATGGAGGTAAAGTTTGCAGGTCATATAGCTTCCACTCTTCCTAGTTCCAATATCTTGTGTTACAGTATCTTGCTATGCCAGTGCCTTAGTCCTCCAAGCTCTGCAAAATGTTAGTCAAAATGATGACGTTCTTGTCATAATAGCAGTGTGCCAGGTTTTGAGTTTCACCCTTGGAGTTACAAAGACTGAACAATAGAATTTTCTATTGAAACTTTTTCCTGCCGCTCTAGGTCCCTGAATCTCCAGGCACCTGGGAAAAAAATTTTATAGTAGAATTCTAGCTTGTAGAATTAGACCAGCTGCTGTTAGCTGTAATGACTGTAACAATGAAAAGACCTATGTATATCTTGATCAGTGTCTGCGAAGCAACCAACATGAAATTGACACAACTACAGGAGGCAATGGAAGATAGGAGGGCCTGGCGTGCTCTGGTCCATGGGGTCACGAAGAGTCGGACATGACTAAACGACTAGATAATGACGATATCTTGATACCCCGATGGCTTTTGATATGATTGGAAATGATTGTCTGGTTTAATTCTGGAATCACAATTCGTCTTATTAGTAGTAGTAATAGTTTACAAAACCTACTACTATTACTACCACTAATAAGATGATATTAGTATTGTAATAGTAGTAGTAGTGGGGTGTGGTGGCACTACGGGTTAAACCACAGAAGCCTCTGTGCTGCAAGGTCAGAAGACCAGCTGTCATAAGATCGAATCCACATGATAGAGTGAGCTCCCGTCACTCATCCCAGCTCCTGCCAAACTAGCCGTTTGAAAGCATGCAAATGAGAATAGATAAATAGGTACCACCACAGTGGGAAGGTCACAGCGTTCTGTGTCTAGTTGCGCTGGCCACATGACCACAGAAAGAGTCTTTGGAAAAATGCTGGCTCCGTGGCTTGAGCACCACCTCCTAGAGTCGGACATGACTGGACTGTTGAGGGGGATCTTTACCTTTACCTATGGATGTAAAGGCTATCTGCACGTGTGACTCTGCATTTGCACACTCTTGTGCAATAAAAGTGAGACAGACTCCAGAGAGTGAGTGACCAGAGTGCATAGACAGGAGGAACTCACAAGAGGCTGGAGCAGAGCATGGTAGGAGAGGCTAAAAGTGAGGAAAAAATGTTTATGTAATCATATACAGTCGTGCCCCGCTTAACGATTACCCCACATTATGACGAATCCGCTTCACGACAATGTTTTTGCAACTGCAATTACAATCGTAAAACGATGTTTTAAAAGGGTTTTTTCCCCTGCTTCAGGAACCGATTCTTCGCATTACGATCAAAACAGCTGATCGTTGGGTTTTCAAAATGGCTGCCGGATGCTCAAAATGGCTCCCCGCTGTGCTTAGGGACAGATTTCTCGCTATACAGGCACCGAAAATGTCCGCCGTATGGAGGATCTTCACTGGACGGTGAGTTTTTAGCCCACTGGAACGCATTAACCGGATTTTAATGCATTTCAATGGGTTTTTTATTTTCACTTTACGACTTTTCGCTCTACAGTGATTTCGCTGGAATGAATTAACGTCGTTAAGCGAGGCACCACTGTATTAGTAGGCTTATTCAGAATTCTTCAAGGATTATGGAGGGAAGAAGTAGTTCTGTGGTTATGAGCTGCAAGGTGTGTGTGATGTTTGTCTTTGTACCTGAGAACAAAATGGTGTACACAGGCAACAAACTGGTTGCAATGTTGTTAGAAAAAAGGTGAGACAACTGGAGCAGCGAGTGGCCAGGCTTCAGGCTTTAAGAGAACTTGCAGAGAACACTGAAGGTCTTATATACAATTCGTCAGTGACAGGCTTATATACAGTCTCTGAGAAGACAACAACGACAGAACTTTCGAGCAGTAGCAGCTGCCAGGGGAGACACTGGAAGTGGAAGAACAGCAAGACAAAGAGGAGGAGGAAAACAGTGAGGAGAACACAACCGTAGCCTCCAGGGAAAGTGTTTCAGTGAGGAGCCAAAGACAGAAAAGACCATCTCCAACAGTGAAACAGCAAAAAAGGTTTGTCTCCTCCAGCCCCACAATTCAAAAGCATCCATTCTTCGGCAGTCAGCCTTCTTTATGGTCCAGCTCTCACTTCCATACATCACTACTGGAAGAACCACAGCTTTGATTATGCAGACCTTTATCGGCAAGGTGATGTCTCTAATTTTTAAGATGCTGTCTAGGTTTGTCATGTCGTTTCTGTCTACCTGGAGGACAGATTATCTTGTGTATAGCCTGTTCAGTTTACAAAGCAATAAATGTTTAAAACACATGTTCCTGCACAGAAATACAGGAGGATGAACTTAATTGTCCCATCAAGAGCATCTGGATTAATATAACTGGGGCAAAAACCAAAGGGAAAATTGTAGTGTCTACTATCGACTGCCCAATCCAGGAGAGGATGCGGGTGAAATGTTTGAAAAGCAGGTTGCAAGAATGTCAAAGAGACCAATGGGAGATAAATTCTGCCAAATATGGACTTTCCAAGAAATTCCAGTCTTGTGTGGCTGATCATTTTTTCCAACAAAAAATGGACGAAGAAACCAGACTTGATCCTACCCAATACGGATGATTTGGTGGAAGGAAGTGGCAGCCAGAGGAACTCTGGGGAATGCGATCGTGTTCTACTTGAGTTTGTGATTTCAAAGAAAATAAAAACAGAGTATAGTCACATATATATATGATGGACTTTAGGAAAGCCAGTTTTAATAAACTCAGAACAATCTTCTAGGCAAGGTTCCATAGCAGGAAATCCTAAGAGTAAAAGGGGTCCAAGATGGATGATAGTTTCTTCCAAAGAATTCCAAAGATAGAAAAGGAGGGAAGAGAACTAAAAGACCGCTGTGGCTTTACAGAAAGCTCGATCTTCTCCCAAAACACAGTCTATGACTTTCCAGGCAAATGTTAAGTACAAAGGGAGGGGAAAGAGGTGCCTGATAACACTGGTTCGTGTGTTGGTAAATCTCGAGGATAGACTATTGCAGTGCTCTGTACGTGGGGCTGCCCTTGAAGGCAGTTCAGAAGCTGCAGGAAATCTGAATTTGACGCTGTTATACCTGTCCTGTCCTGCTCACATGTATGCTTCTGGGCCAGATTCAAGGTGCTGACGTTAACGTATACGGCCCCATACTGTTTAGAACCTCATTACATGGCTCTTCATCCAGGCCTTTGAAAACCTTAACCCCCTTTTAATCTTAATTTTGAGGCAATTGGGTGATGGCTCCCTGGTTTGCGCTCTTGAATTTGGCAATGCTAGTTAGACTGGGTGGTTTGAGGATGGCTTTTTTTGCTTTTGTATATTTATTATTTCAATTTTGTGTGAATATACGGTGTATGATTTTTGTTTTATTTTTTGCAGGGAGAAGCTGCCCAGTGGCTTTTCCTTTAGATGGCCACGAAATAAGTTTATGAATGAATGAATGAACGAACATTTTTTTTGCATGACATTACATTGGGTAGAATAGCAGATACCCTGGAACAGAGGTCCTTAACCTTGGGCCTCCAGATGTTCTTGGACTTCGACTCCCAGAAATCCTAGCCAGTAGAGGTGATGGTGAAGGCTCCTGGGAGTTTTAGTTCAAGCGAGTAGGATCTTGCAAAGGTTGTAGATCACAAGGTGAATAATGACATCTGCAAGCGGGATCTGAAGGCCTTAGGAATGTACCTCAACAGATGGGAAACCTTGACGTCTGAGCGTTCAGCCTGGAGGCAGGCGGTGCATCACGGCCTCTCCCAATTTGAAGAGACACTTGTACAGCAGGCTGAGGCAAAGAGGCAGTCCCGAAACAAGCAAAACCAGGGAGCTGGACAGGGGACAGATTGTATTTGTCTTCAATGTGGAAGAGATTGTCACTCTCGAACTGGCCTTTTCAGCCACACAAGACACTGTTCCAAGACCTCCATACAGAGCGCGTTACCATAGTCTCTCGAGACTGAAGGATGCCTGCAGTGCAACATGGGTGCAAAAAGGCCAATGATATTTTAGGATGCATTTACAAAAATATCATCTCCAAATCCTGTGCGGCAATTGTCCGCCTGTATTCAGGATTGGTTAGGACTCCTCTAGAGTACAGTACTGTGTCTCTGGTCACTGCAGTTCAAGAAAATTGCTACAAGAAGCCAGGTTTTGGCTGAATATCAGGAAAATATTTTGTCGAAGTTTGATCCGTATTCCTGCATTGAGCAGGGGGCATTGGACTCAATGGCCTTTTAGGCCCCTTCCAAATCCATCATTCCATGCTAAGATACATACATAGGTTAGGCTGCCTGTCAGAGGGATTAAACAGTGACTAAGGATTCTCCAGAGCAGTCTCTCTAGGACCAAAAGCAACAAGCATCTGGTTCTGAGCAGAACAAAGAGGTGGTGCCAGAAGTCCTGCTGGGATGTCCTGCTTCTGGAATGATCTGGTCAGCCACTGTGGGAAAGAGAACACTGACCCGATGACCTTCGGGCTGATTCAGATCCAGAGTCTTTTGACTAGAATTTCACCTCTACAGTAGGGAGGTCACATTGTCTATTCCATTTTCTTCAGCAAAATGGTGTTGAGTTTCCATTTGGACAGCTAAGTTTTGGATTTCTCCTTTGATTGAACAGGTTGACTCATTATATATATATATATTTAAAAGCCAAGCAGACACCACCCCCCGCTGCATCCAGACAACCCTTCCCCATCCTTTTTCCCAAGTGTCCTCACTCCTACCTGATCTGGCTGAACAGCGCCCATCTTCTCTCTTGTGAGAGAATCCCTGGAAGGAGGCTGAAGGTACATCTCGCTACCTGTGAGGGAGACACAGAAGATGGGTCAATACTAGACACTTTCAGGGGATTTGGGGAAGGGGGCCTTGACGACCACTCCCGGGATCCATCAAGGAAAAGGCAGCCTTTGGCCCACCTCCTCTGCATCCCAACTGTAGGATCCACCCAGGATATGGAGAAACAGGGCAGGTGTTTTCTCTGCTGGGTAAACCAACTGACATCAACACTGGCCTCCTTTCAGTGCCAGGCCAAGCCACGGCTCCATCCCCATCTGGGGATCACAGTCTTGACTATATTTTATATTATTACTGTTGTAACATAATAAGATAAGAATGCGGCTTGGAGACGGGGATGAGCACCGCGCCCTAGAGTCGGACACGACTGGACTAAATGTCAAGGGGAACCTTTACCTACAAAATTTAGACAACCCTCTCACAACGGTATACATCCATTTACTGGTTCTTTATTCCTGGAGGTCTATCTTGATGAATGCAGAATAAAAGAGATCCAATGTGAATGTTAATTTTTTTAAAAAAAAATCAGAGTGGGAGTTCAAGCCGGAGGTGCAGCGGAGAACCTGTTGAGCCCTTACCTTCCGAGGAGGTGGCGTCTCCTTCACTGCCCAGCCTAATCCACCACAAATCTGCCTCCTTCCTGATGTCTGGAGGGGCCTTGTAGCCTTCGGGGGATTTAGTGGCTCTTTTGACCGATACCTGAGAGAGAAATAAAGATCAGAGAAAGCGAAAAGCCTGACGGGGTTGGGGAGGAACACAGGCAGACCAAGGCCACAGCTTGGCAAAGAGAAGATTGTTTTCAAAGCTGCTTTGAATTCTTTCCTAAGGAAATCACTCTTCCAGACCTCCAGTTTCATTGGGGTGGGGAGAAATAAAGCTGTACAAGGGGGGGGTTTCTGTGGAGGGGAGGGTTGATCACCCTGACCACACCCTGGCCTGGCTCAAAGCCTGCTGTGCTATCCATTCCTTTCCCTTCTCGATCCATTGATGGCTGCTTTATTGATTTTTTGTGGTGTTTATCTTTTATTATATTTTGACCAAACTCTGGGAGGCAGTGGAAGACAGGAGGGCCTGGCATGCTCTGGTCCATGGGGTCATGAAGAGTCGGACACAACTAAACGACAACATGATTTGTTTTATTTCATTTTTTTTCACTCAGCGTGTAAACCCATAGCAGTGTTTATTGGAAATCAATGCATTATGATAGATAGATAGATAGATAGATAGATAGATAGATAGATAGATAGATAGATAGATAGATAGATAGATAGATAGATAGATAGATAGATAGATAGATAGATAGAGAGAGAGAGAGAGAGAGACAGACAGACAGACAGACAGACAGACAGACAGACAGACAGACAGACAGACAGACAGACAGACAGACAGACAGACAGACAGACAGACAGACAGACAGACAGACAGACAGACAGACAGACAGACAGACAGACAGACAGACAGACAGACAGACAGACAGACAGACAGACAGACAGACAGACAGACAGACAGACAGACAGACAGACAGACAGACAGACAGACAGACAGACAGACAGACAGACAGACAGACAGACAGACAGACAGACAGACAGACAGACAGACAGACAGACAGACAGACAGACAGACAGACAGACAGACAGACAGACAGACAGACAGACAGACAGACAGACAGACAGACAGACAGACAGACAGACAGACAGACAGACAGACAGACAGACAGACAGACAGACAGACAGACAGACAGACAGACAGACAGACAGACAGACAGACAGACAGACAGACAGACAGACAGACAGACAGACAGACAGACAGACAGACAGACAGACAGACAGACAAGAAAAAATGAAGTAAAGATAGACAGACAGACTGACTGATTGACTGATCAATCTCTTTATCTACAATCCAGTGGTTTTGGTTTATTTGGGCCTCCTGAGAAGCCAGCTTTTTAAATATCAAACGTGAACCATCCGGACCCCCGCCCAATGTTTCTTTAATCCTTTCTTGGATAGTCTTTGGTGGAGTACTTATTTATTTATTATTTCAGTTTAAGATTTAATCGTTATACGGTGCGCTCGTTAAGCTAGGCACCACTGTATTCCAGAACTTGACACCGGGCAGGGCCAGCCGGGGGAATCCCACACGTCAGGCTTTTCTACCTCCATGAAAGGGGCGGTCAAGGGAGTAAAGCCAAGAAGCTGGCAAAAATTGGGGAGTGGGGAGGAAAAAAAATATTCCAAATTGTTCAGGCCTGAAAGAAGCCCCTTTGGTTGCTATTTGGGGAGAGGGTCTTCCTTCTCCCCCCCCACTCTCCCCTTTGTCCCCTCCAACACCCACCCACAGAGAGGACTCCCCCCTCTTCAGACACCCCCCCGTCACCCCTCCAAAATCCCCCCCTTGGCGCTCACCCGCGCTCGCCTTTGTCCTAGTAGCGGAGGAGCGGCAGAAGCGTGGGAAAATCCCCAGCCGAATTCCCACGGGTGAAGGGAGGGGCCGGAAGTGAGGAGGAGGAGGAACAGCGCCCTCTGGCCGCCCCTCCCATCACAGCCAGAGGTCTCTCTAGGAAGCTAAACTTGTTCATTTTAACTCCGGAGAGGCCGGCGAGAGGGAACCGCAGAAGGAACCTCATAGCCATTCCCCTATGTGAATCTCTGGACTTCTATTAATTAATGATAATAATGATAATACATGCATACATACATGCATGCATACATATCCCGTTTCCCAGAAGATAAGACCTAACCTGAAAATAAGCAGCAACCAGAAGAGGACATGGGGAGGGGGAAATCCCCTGAAAATAAGCCCTAATGTGGTTTATGGAGGAAAAATTAATATAAGACCCTGTCTTATTTTCGGCGGACCATGGTACATACATAACTTTCATATAATACCAATCAATGTTTTTATAATTTTGATTCATTGTGACTGGTGTTTTT